CAGCACTAGGGAGGCAGAGGCAGGTAGATCTCTGTGAGTTCAAGACCAGTCTGGTCTACAAAACTTATTCCAGGATTGCTAGAGCTACACAGAGAAATCCTGTCTGGAAAAACAACAAAAAAAAACCATTGAGAAAAAAATCATTCATTTAATTTTTGCTTGAAATTCCTTACCTTAATTGAAAATAGTTTTATAAGCTACTTTTTTTCCGAGACAGGGTTTCTCTGTATTGTTTTGGAGCCTGTCCTGGAACTCGCTCTGTAGACCAGGCTGGCCTCGAACTCACAGAGACCCGCCTGCCTCTGCCTCCCAAGTGCTGGGATTAAATGCATGTGCCACCAACACCCGGCATAAGCTACTTTTTTTTTTGGTTTTTACAAGACAGGGTTTCTCTGTATTGTTTCGGAGGCTATCGGTCCAGCCCGGCCTCGAACTCACAGAGATCCGCCTGCCTCTGCCTCCCGAGTGCTGGGATTAAAGGTGTGTGCCACCACGGCCCGGCGGCATAAGCTACTTTTAAAGTATTTCAAATACATAAACATCCTTACCTCACATTTTTTCTTTCTATTGTAGAAAACACATATACAGATATCAATTCCCATTATATAATCAGAAACTAAGTTTCTACAAATATCAGAGTTCATTTATGTTATTTAATATATTCCAAAAAACCTGGATTGAATATTCTGATTAAAGACAAATCATAATTTTGGTTCCTCTACTACTTAAATTTCAATGTTTAACTTTTTGAAAGAAGGAAAACCACTTGGACCTATACTGTCATATGATTCTTAATATAATTAGAAAGATAGTATTTATGGGAAACCTTTTAAAGCAAAGGCATTTAGTAATCAGAATGGCCAACTTCAGTTAAAAGGACAATGTTGGAAAACTATTACTCTGTGTAAAATTGGGCTTACTGTTTTCTTCTTAAATAAGCCAATATAATTTGAAGCACTATCATATTTATGAAGTACAATTAATTATTATCATTTAAATATACTGTTTATTAATTATTTGAGAATATCATACAGTGTGCTTCAATTATGTTCATACCCCTTCTTCTCACCCTAACTCTTCCCAGGTCAACTCCAGCCTCTCTAGTCCCCCTAGATGAATTATTGTTAATGACAGGTGATAGGATTAAGACTTTGTAAACAGTTAAGTGAATCCTTTTTCTTTTTAGTACTTATTCTTTGATAATTTCATGCAAGTATTTAAGGTACTTGAACATCTGCATTTCTCTATTCTCCTCTCTTATCCTCCTCCCACTCTGCTGAAGTTCTTCTTTCCACCAAGTGCATCTCTTTCTTTTTGGTCTTCCCCATCTGCTTTTGTGTGCGTGCGTGCGTGCGTGCGTGCGTGTGTGCGTGTGCGTGTGTGTGTGTGTGTGTGAGAGAGAGAGAGAGACAGAGACAGAGAGACAGAGAGACAGAGAGAGACAGACTCACTGTGTTTAATTATGGTTGCTTGCATGAACCCAGGTAGGAGGTTATTTACTGAATCATGGGCAACTTACCAATGGCTATAGCACTGAATACAATGACTTCTCCTAATGACTCTTCAGGGAAGGGGTGTGGCCTTGTGAACCCCTCCCCCATCCATGGTGGAATATGGAAAGGGCCCAGCATGTGTAGTTCTTGTACAGGTAATCACATCAGCCTTTCATGATAAGAATGAATTTTATCCATCATGCAAATATCATAATAAGAAACTGCTGTTTTATACAACAGTGATTCAAATAAGCCTGGTACAGATTGAATGCAATTTAATTTTAACATAGGTTTGGTGGGGTTTTTCTACACTTCTGTGGTTAAACAACTTGTTTTAAAAGGATTTTTTTCTTTTCGTTTTGCAAAAGTACTTCATTAGCATCTTCAAAATTTCAGTTCTTTTAAGGCAAAAATATTACTGATTGAGGATTATCAAAACCTGGTTTTTAAAACTTTTTCAAATGTATCTTTGTTGTGACAGAAAGTCATTAATAACTTCCATTGTATTATAGTTTATGATATTAGACTCTAGTTATGACGTATTATCTGTTTGTCTTCCTAACTTTGGTGGGTTTTTTTTTTTTTTGGTTTTTCGAGACAGGGTTTCTCTGTATTGTTTTGGAGGCTGTCCTGGAACTCGCCCTGTAGACCAGGTGGCCTTGAACTCACAGAGAGCCACCTGCCTCTGCCTCCCGAGTTCTGGGATTAAAGGCGTGCACCACCAATGCCCGGCCTAACTATGGTGTTTTGAAAGGAGCTCCTCACAATACGTTGATCTTTGCATTGTGGCTTTCTGTTATGATCTCCTTTTGAAAATTGGTTGTCCAATACAAAGTATTCAACCCTGAAGTCATATGTATTCAAACAACAAAATAATACAACTCAGAAGGTTGTATATTTATATAAATACAAATATACATACCTTATATCATATATATGGCGTATAGCAGGTGCACTCCTAAAAGTTGTGTGTAGTGAAATATTGTTGATGATTTATTAAATCTCTGAGTTCAAGGCTACCCTGGCCTACACTAGAGTAAAGAGTACCAGAGTTTAGGATCACTTGCCTTTAATCCCAGCACTAGGGAGATGGAGACAGGAGGATATGGCTGGATAGAGAAAGGCATATGAGGAGGAGGAGAAAGGAACTCAGACATTTTGTCTCTTGAAAATTCGTGGAGACAGGATTGCCATTTCAGCTGGGTAGAGGTAAGATCTACTAGCTTGGCTGCTTTGCTTTTCTGATCTTCAACTTGAGGCTTGATCCCCAAAACTGTCTCTGGGTCTTTTATTTTTCATGTTATGATTGTGTATAATTGTTCCTTTATCAATTTCTTTCAATAAACTGAATTCCAAGTTATATATTGTTATGGTGTCAATGAGAAATGTCCCTAAAGAACCCATGGGTTTGAATATGGTACCTGGACGATTGTCCTGGTTTTTTTTTGAGGTTGTAAAACCTTTTGGAGGTAGATGCTAGGTGGAGGAAACGGGCTGTGGAGGGCAGGCCCTGAGGTTTATCATCCAGGCCCCTTGGACCTGAGCTTTCTGACTATGAGTGGGTAGCATGTGAGCAAACTGCCCAGAAAGCTCCCAAAGCCATAAACTACTCCATTTTAGTTGTAATGATTTCCCATCTGATGGACTACCTCCTCTGAACTGTACACCAAAGAAATCTTTTCACCACTACCTTGTTTCATTTAGGCATTTGGTTATAGGGAGACTTAATATATCTAGTTACAGGAAGCCTGATAATTTTGGTAAATTATACACAATATTTGTTATTCTTTGAGCAATTTATGGATGTATAGAATGTATTTTAGCCATATCCACCCTCATGCTACCTCAGCTCCTCCCAACACCCAGCCCTGCCAGAATACCTCCCTCCCGGCTTATGTATGTCTGTCCTATAAATGACCCACTGGTGCCAATCAGTGCTGCTCATATGGCCAGCCACTGGGGCATGGGCACTGTTACTGTAATTTGTTTATTCCTCTAGGAAAACTTTGACTCTCGTATGTATTCCTTTCTTATCCTACATCCTACTTATCGGTGGGGAAAACTTTAAAGTCACGCTGCAAAATGTGAGATTCAATTTGGCACTATGAAGTTACCAAATCACATTTTATGCTCTATTAGTATATTACCAAAATCTTGTGCTACCACTGAGCTAAACAAGATGTCTTCTACTAGTAATGAAGCATTAAGTGGCCTTCATGAACAACTTTTCTCTATGGGGAGCCATATAGAATGCCTTTTTATAATTGGGTTATTTCTTCATATCTTTAGATAAGACCAATAGCTTTAGATATTGATGTGTATTCCATTCTTACCTTTACCTCCAATGATGCGTTCTCTGTGAATCAGCCAGCGCTCCTTCTACTCCTTCTCAATTTTGCTACTATTGAGACTTAGAATATATATATATATATTCTAATTTTTTATATATCAAAATTTTGATGATGTAGAGAATGAGATCCAATTAAAACATCAATAAAAATAAGGGGGCCCCAGGAAGAAAGTTTACTTTAGTAGAATGGTATATGAAAGAACAACTCCACTGTTGTGAACCCTGTTCTTGCTACATAAATGCTTTATACACTTAATGCTATAAGGTGAAGCTGGCTAATTTGCATAGATTTTCAAACGAAAAGAAAACTTACCTATTACTGTAGTTCTGCCAATCACCTGGGATACCCTTATAGAGAAAACTGGGAGTGTTTTCTTTGAGGACAGAAGGGATTGAAACAACAGCTTCTATGTGGGATGTTCTGGCAGTATGTTTACCATCATTGTCTAATAATGTACAATGAACAATGTACATTAATGTCTAAAACTAATAATGTACAACAATGTCTAATAACGTACAAAGATCCTCTTGCCTCTACCTCCAACTCAAATCTTTTGTTGTTTTTTCTGAGACAGGGCTTGTCTGTATAGCTTTAGCTGTCCTGGAACAAACTTTGTAGACCAGGTTGGCCTAGAACTCATAGAAATCCTCCTGCCTCTGCCTCCCATGTGCAGGAATTAAAGGTGTGCACCACCACCACCTGGTTCAAATCTTAAATCTTAAACAAAAGAGCATAGCACTTTTGTAATGTGCTTTGGAACATAAGCTAAAAGAGAGTCAGATGGACTGAGCATCAAAATCTACATATTAAAGGACATCACTGATCATGCTGTAACACAAACAGTAATAAGTGTGCATGGCATATTTGTAACCGATACAATTTAGAATATAAATAAATACTAATGAAAAAATCAAATGAATGCTTTGACTGAATTGAATTATCCTTAAGATATAAAAATAAATGAGTGAATGAACATACATAAACCAATTTCCTACAAATTTTCAAATGATTAAAATATTGAATTTTATGCACTATTAATTTTATTTCAATAAAAAACCCCTCAAATGTTTTCCTGGACACAAAATGGGAGAAAAATCCAAGAATTTTAATATCACACTAAACTACAGTTTTTGAAATATCACAAACCATAATCATCTTTGTGGAACTGTTTTATTACGATAAATGCAGCAAAACTTTGTGCATACACATATAATCAAAACTGCCCTCCTGGAATAAACATTCAGATTTCTTCAATGATGAAATTAAGATTTTTATATTCTTTCCAAGCTACTGATACAGTTATATTTGGTAATGGTGATTCTAACTCTTACCATTACCTGAAAATAGTTGACCTTCTTTATAAAAGCAACCTAGGGAACTACAACAAAGTTGTACCAAACTCTTTCTTTTGGGATTCTCCTACTTTGCAAAATTATCACATATAAGAATAAAATTGAAACTCAAAGATTTAATATATAACTTACACACAGTGAAATTCACAAAGTTGCAAGTATACATTTTATATTTTGCACTACTATAATCACAAAATGTATAAAGGTGTCATGTTAGGTATTTTGCAACTAATAACCTGTATGATGATGTTCCAAGATTGAATGATGCTAAAGAAAAGCACTGTTTATAAAATATCTGATAAAAATATTTATCTCTATTAACATTACAACAGGAAGGTACTTGTTACCAAATTATGATATCACATAGGGCAGTTTTAGACAATACTCAGAGACTCCTTTTCTCCATCTTGTTTGAAATCTTTGTTTTCAACTTCCTTTTCCGCCTCCACCTTGTTTTCACCATTTCCTTCCTCTGGAGCCTCCTTTTCTTTTCCTTCTTCTTCCTTTCCATCTTTCTCTTCTCCATCATCCTTCTCCTTTCCATCTGCCTCACTCTGGCCTTCCTTCCCCTCTTCCTTATTTTCCTGCTCTTGGCATTTTCCATCCTCCTCTTCTTTTTCCTCTTTCTGTTCTTTTATTTCTCCCTCCACTTCAGCTTTCTCTTCCTTGGCATCTTTCTCTTCTTCCTTCTTCCCATCCCCTTCCTCTTTGTCCTCTTCGTTGTCATCGCTTCCTTTGTCTTCATCATCTTTGTCCTTCACACCCTCACTTTCCGCCGAGCCTGTCTTCTCTTCTAGGATTTCTTCCCCATTTCCGTCTTTTACCTCCTCGCCTTCATCTTTACCCTCTCTTCCATCTTCCTCTATCTCTGTATTTAGGACATTTTCCTCTTTTCCATCTTCCTCTTTCTCTGTATTTAGGACATTTTCCTCTTTTCCATCTTCCTCTTTCTCTGTATTTAGGACATTTTCATCTTCCTCTTTCTCTGTATTTAGGACATTTTCCTCTTTTCCATCTTCCTCTTTCTCTGTATTTTGGACATTTTCCTCTTTTTCTGTATTTTGGACATTTTCATCACCTTTTCCATCTTCCTCTTTCTCTGTATTTTGGACATTTTCATCACCTTTTCCATCTTCCTCTTTCTCCATCTTTTGGACATTTTCATCATCTTTTCCTTCTGCCACCACTGCTTCTTTCTTTTCTCCTCCATCTTCTTCAGCATCTTCATTCATCTGCTCCTTTATTTCCTCAGTTTCCATTGTAGGAATGGGTGCCTAGATATGAGGAAAAACAAGATTGGAATTTAGAGCTGTTTTCTCTCACATGTTTACATCAAATTATATCTGTTTCATGAAAAACCTGATTAGATTTCTTTTGCCAGAAAGTAGTTTTCCTATGGAAAAACCACGATAAATGAGAAATATTCTAAACAACATTCAACTGTAATGCCTTGATACAGAGTACCACAAATAGATATCTGAAACCATAAATTCAGTAAAGCTTGTCTATATAAATAATTTTCATTGTGAACATGATGAAACAAGCTAAATAAGCAAAGGATGTTTATTTATTCTATGTCATAAATTGTCAGTCCTTGGGATAATAATGCTGTTTTTTCTTTTGAGATGAGGTCTTGCTGCATAGCTGAAGCTGGCCTTGAACTCACAGTGATTCTCCAGCCTCCATCTACCAATTGCATAAGACTGGCCACCATGGGCTCGTGTATTTCAATACTTTTTTTGCTCATGTATTTGAATGCTTAGTCTTCAGTGATTTGGACTACTTGAGAAGGATTAGGAGGTGTTGACCTTGTTGCAGTAGGTGTGGCCTTGAGGTAGGTAGCCAGCAAAGGGGTGGGCTTTGAAGTTTTAGAAGCCCAAGCAAGACCCAGTATCACTTTCTTCCTGCTGCCTGCATAGAACTCTCAGCTACTACCACCACTGCTACTGCCTAGATGTAGAACACTCAACTGCTACTCCAGTACCACGTCAGCCTGTGTGCCGCCATGTTCCCATTATGACATCGGACTAAACTTCTTAAATTGTAAGCCAGCCCCAATTAATTGCAAGTTGCTGTGATCATGGTCTCTCTTCACAGCAATAAAACCTTAAGGTGTAACAGGCATGCACCACTAAGCGCAATTTACATTTGTGCTTGTGTGTGTGTGTGTGTGTGTGTGTGTGTGTGTGTGTGTGTGTGTGTGTGTGTTTTGAGACACTATTTCATTATGTGGGTCTGGCTGTTCTGCAACTCACTCCTGTTGACTAGGCTGGCTTCAGCCTCACAGGGAGCACATTTGTGCTTTAAAAGAAAACCCAAAACTTGGGCTGGAGAGATAGCTCGGTGGTTAAGAGCACTGACTGCTCTTCCCAGCACCCACATGGTGGCTCACAACCATCTATAATGAGATCTGGTGCCCTCTTCTGGTGTGCAAGCATACATGCAGAACACTGTATATAAATAAATAAAATCTTAAAAAAATAAAATCAAAAATTGCCGGGCATTGGTGGCTCATGCCTTTAATCCCAGCACTCTGGAGGCAGAGGCAGGCGGATCTCTGTGAGTTCGAGGCCAGCCTGGTCTATAGAGCAAGTTCCAGGACAACCCCCAAAGCAATACAGAGAAACCCTGTCTTGAAAAACAAACAAACAAACAAACAAAAAAACAAAACAACAAAAAATTACTAGAAAATCCTATATGGTTACTTATATTTTACCTATATGTATGTTTGATTTGACATCTCATTTTAAGTATTTTACTAGAATACCTGTAAGTGTAGGATACATTAAATACGTAAAACAAAACCTACTAAAAACAATACATAGAGGGCCATGTATCACACCTGATAGAGTGCTTGTATGCATAAAGGTCTAAGTTGGAGCCCCAGCCAGGCATAAATTAGGTGTGTGTATAATGGTGCAGGCTTGTAATCATAGCACTCAGGAGATGGAGGTAAGGAGGCTCAGAAGTTCCAGGTCATTCCTGACGATATAAATGAATTTGAGCCATCCTGGGCTATACAAGACCTCGTTTGGGGAAAAAAATTCTATAATAATTTGTTATATCACCTACAGAGGAAATAAAACGACTTTTTCTGGGGAACGAAGTTACAAATAGTCCACGTGTTGACAAAAAGGATTGAAGTTTGGCCTGTATTTAATAAGAGCGTTTAGTAAGGCATGTTTACTGCAATTGTTAAAGCAATAGTATTGCTAATCAGTTGTTTCTGCTACTACCACCTGCAATGCTCATATTTTCTATTTAGATGCCATTATACCACAGAACCACTATTCATGTACTATTTCTTTTCTAAACTAATATACAACTAAGATTGCTTTCACTTGTGATGTTAAGTTTTCAAGATATATCTGCTAATGCTTCAAGATACCTCAGTAATTTTGGCTTCTCCATTTTCAGCATTTTCCACGTTGCACTCTTCTTTAACATCTTCTGGCTTGGTTTCGGGAGTTGTTACGGCACTCACATCTTTGTTTTCTTCCACTGCAACATTTGTGGTCTTCAGTTTCTGTCCAGCAACACAAAAATAATAAAAATACACAATTTAGCTGCTATGTCAATTAAACCACTAAGGTTACATTAACAGCTGATAAAATAATTTAGGGAGAGCTTTAGCATACTACACATAAATCTGATACCAATAAAATTAACACATAACTCTTTCAGTGTTACCCCTAAAGCAGCATTAAAAGTGAATTCTGTTACTCTGATATAAATTAAAGCGTGCAAACGAGAAATAAGAAGTTAGTGTTCACTAGCACCCACCAAGGTCTAATTCCCAGCATCCGATTAGACTGATAAATTGAATGTCTCTTACCAAAAGTCAGTTTATTGCTGTCTAATCTAATCATTAGCAATAGGATTGTGTTAATTATAATGTCTCCATTGGTAGTAATTAAGAGAAATGTCATGCTAGTGAGAACATCAATTTAGACACATTTAAAAGAGACCATCAGGGGATGCAGCTGTTTTAATCTTTATGCGGAAGCTGTACAGTTCCTTGAAGTTTTTTATTTTGCTATGAGAAAGTTCTTTGCTTATGTGTATATACAGCGGGAGGATCATTTATTTAAGCTGCCAGAGAAATCGATTTGAATCCTAGATCTTCCACTTATCTACTGTTTTCTTGAGGAAAGGTATAAATCTCTTTCAGATTGTGTTTTCATATATAAAAAGATAATACCACTCACCACACAGGGACACATTTTAAGTCAATTGAGAAAATATCAATGGAATTGAGTTAGAAATTATATATTGCACCATACATAAAAGCTATTATTCTGTTAACAAATGAGAAACCAATATCTGAAAAATATAAACTGTTTTAAAGTGTATAATGCCCATCGTGATTTATTCCTATCCCTTTTTCCCCATCTTCCCTCTCTCAGTGCAACTTGCAGAAGAACCATTCAATGGCTAGCGCTGCATCAATATGTAAATTGACTGATCAAGATAATTAGACAGCCTTTAAGAATTTTCAAATGAAAAATATCAAAAACGTCTTACAAAAATGATCATAGTTTGTTGTGTCATCATCTCAAAAATTCTTTTATTCTCCAGGGGAGAGCACAAACACAGTCCCTCCACTACCACAAATTATGCAGTCAAGTTTCCCGTCCGTGGAGAAATGGCAGGGGTCAGCACATCTCAAGTGCAATGAATGAGTCTAGCCCTGGAAAGACCACCTTAGTGATCATGGTATCTCTCCTGCCAGGTAAGGAGTCAAATATTCTTATGGTGGGTATTGTGGTGGCAGGAAGGATTTATATTTCGTCTATTATCTAGGGAACTCAGGGCAGGAACCTGGAGACAGGTGCTGAAACAGCAGCCACGGAAGAACAGGGTTTACCGGATTGCTTTCTGCAAATATTTTTTATAACTTCAGTCTTTTCTGATTTGTGTAATTCAACCAACTGTTAGAAAAAATTTGTAATAAGGCAATTAGGGATTAACTTAATATTGATTTTATTTCTCTTTCAGCCTGTCATTAGTTTTAACATCCAAGCACAGACATCTATATAAAATCATTTGACTCCATTTAAAGAAACATATATGAAAGCGCGTCCTGAAGTGTATCAAATGTTACTTGCTGTTATTATTATAGCACACTATTGGGTTACTGCAGTTCATGGCCTTTGTTTTCCTAGGAATATTGGTATTTTAGTGACTAAGTCTCAAGGACATATGCATTTAACATGTCACCCACCAATGTATTTTATTTTACATTCACAATATTGTGTTGTAACTAGCAAATAAAAATGCCAAGACACAGCTACCAATCCCAAAACATATACAGATATTCACTACCCAGTAGAATTATATGTACTGTATGGTACATTATATTTCTGGTTAAACTATGAAGAAAACGAAAGGATCAGTTGTGTGCACTTTCACAATTTATTTCTAAACACACACACACACACAAACACACACACTTTCTTCAACCTTAGAATTTGAACATTTACCCTTGGAGTTGATGTTCTTTTAGGCTTCACCTCTGGTGTAAAGTGCACAGGCATCTGTATCAGAAAGCATCATTATATAAGAAAAGGGGAAGGCATCACATTTGAAGGAAGAGCACTAGCAATGAAATCTATGAGTATGATTTAAAGTAAGCACTAGGAACCAAAAAAACCCCTTTTTTCATGTGTAAAGTTTCTCTTATAACCCTTCCAAATAAGCCTTATACTAAACAAAACATTGTGTAGGATTCCCTGATTCTAAAACCTCCACTCCATGATAACACGGGTAGCATTTTACAAAGGCCACTTACAGCAGACAGTCGGGCTGATCTTCTCTTTGGCTGGAGGTGGGAAAAAAAACAGTCACAAGAATTATAGATGTACAAATCTAGAGTTATTTTTATTGAGACAATATTTAGTATAACACTGTAAATATTGCTATTAAGGAAGTGATTATAAATTTGGTTAAGAAATATCATAGTACACACATCTGACCCCCCCTTCATATGGTAGAGGGAATAAAATCCTATGACAAGCTTCTTTCACTGAGCTAAATCAGTAAAGTTGCTCTTATCGAGGAGCGTGTTTTAAAATTAAAATATATTTTTTTGCTTAGCAACTGATAAAACAGGAGTTTCAGCCTAAGAAGGTGCTTTCTGGATCTGATAACATAACAAGCACAGTAGAATCCTAAACTCCAAAAAGTCTGTCATTTTTATTAATGTACTGGCATATCCAACATTAGTACTCATTTGGTACAAATATAACCACCAGCATTTATTTGTACCTAGTTATATGTCTTTAGTTTCTAAAGTGGGTGCTTTTTTCAGAGAAACTCGCAAACTAACGACACTCACCTCCTGACTGGCATCACCTGCAGCCTATGTAGAGGGAGAAAAGTACAAAAAAAAAAAAGAAATAGGGTAGTCAATATAAATACACAGACCAGAAAATATCGCCATTGGATTATATTACAACTTTAGCCACTTGTAACTCTTTCCTGGGTTCCCGCTCCAGCAGCCACGTGTGGTTTCCTAGCAGCTACTCTACATCTGCTCTTTCAGTAATGGGAGACTAAGATGCAAGTTCATGCTCAAGACCCGTTTACAACGAGTCGGTGTAACCTTTTTTATGTAAATAACGTGTCTTAAAAACAAACCATTTTCATTTTGAAATCCACCTGCTCCACTGTTAAAGCCAAAACAAGGGTTGGGGCGGGACGAACGAAGGCGGAGCTTCTTGCAATTTCCCTCTCTTGCCTTATGTTTGCTATGCAATGGTATCTATCTGACCTGCTCTACTGATTATGGACTATTTTCCTTCCCAAATTCTGCATACAAAACAACAACCCCACCGTACTTTCAAGGAAGAACGTCTTTGTTCTAACGTCCATGTTTTATTCGGAGAAGCAGGCGGAGGATTTTAAAACTTCCCGCCACTACCTGCTCCAAGGTTGCTGTCAGCTCTGCAAAAAAGCAAGATCCATTGCACAAGCCTAAAAAAGCCCGGCGGGAGCCTCGGGAAAGGGGGTGGTGATTAGAAACAATTGCTTTCGGTATCTGAGTAGCCCTTTACCCTGGGAATTACCAGGCTATTATTTCAACGTTTCATACAGCCCAGAGCACTGAGGAATTCAGCCTCGTTTCTGTGTTCTAGGAATACGGAAGGCGGACGGATTCACAAGAATATAAAAACAACTATAAGGCTTTTTTTTTTTTTTACATTAACGTAGTGTTTTACGATTTCACCAAAGCAATGAAACAGCACTCCATTTTAGTCATAAGAGACTCGGGAAGAAAAAAAGAAACAAATACTGAGCGGCAACTTATTTCCTATCTATGCGGAGACAGGAATTTTGAAATGAAGGGTTACAGAAGACCTGTAGCCCTTGGTAGCTCAGATCAACTCCCCAATGTCTAAGTGAACAAATCTCACGCCGCCCCACCATCCGACGCTGGTTGTAGTTTCTCATACGCGGCTCACCAATCACCTTTCCACCTTTAACTAGAGAGTTCCGAGAGTGCCAAATCTCTCAGATCTAAAGTTTCTAATTACAGCGGTGAATCTCTCCCTTCTCTAGGACAGTTTGAAGTCTGCGCCGCCTAATGGCACAGGATTACCATTGCATAGCCATCTGGCATGACAAGAAGTGGAGGAGGGAAGAGGGGGAAAAAAGGAAAAAAGAAAACGGAAAGAACAAAGGCAAAAACAAGAGAAAGCCAGGGCTTTCGTTCCCCCAAACGGGACGGTTCCCGGAGAAAAACTGGAGGTAGAGAAGGAAGCTGGCGCTGGAAGTGTGGTTGGGAGAAGAGTTCTCCAATAGGGTAAGCGGAGGAAGGGGGGTGGGGTAGGAAGCGACAGCACAGCGCTATGGCTGTTTGTAATTCAGCATGGAGACACCTCTCAAACGATTCTCTCCCTTAAACAAAACAAGCCAAAAGTGAACTACCAGTTGCATACGAGACCTTCTGAAACCAAACACAGACGACTCGCTACCTTTCCCTCGCCTTCCATTCACAACATCACAAAAATCAAACTAGAAGCCAAAATGCTCTTTCAAAAAGATAGAAATCTCTGCCGTAGGAAATATGTATTTCGGCAGCTAATCTCCCGTCTATCTTCTCATTTCACTTACCTTTCTTTTGGGCATTGTTGCAGCTCTCCGCAGGAGATCCTTAGGCAGGAGGGAAAAATGCCGAGAGCAGTCTCCGTCTGACCGCTCCGCGAGCGACTGAGTTTTCAATGAACTAATTGCAGCACGATATGTTCTCGAGTCCCCCCTCCCCCTAAAAAAAATCTCTCGTTATTGGCAACATTAAACACGCCAAGACGCAACCAAACTACGTGAATGGTTAGCCGAAGTGGGAGCCAGGTTGGAGTGACAGACCGTCAGGCCAATGAGGGGAAGTGGCCGGTTCGGAAGGCGTGGCCCGCGAACTTGCCCGAAGCCCTCGTACACTGCCGGCTCTGACTGCCTCTAGGGTGCCGGAGTCCAAGCACTTAGCAGACGCTTAGAGCTCCAACGTGACCAGCAGGAAATCCAGTTTTCTTGCCTTTTCACCCTTTTATGTTATAACGACAAGCGAAAGCTCAAACAGTTGTTTTTTTCCACGATCTCCAACCGCCTCCCCCCTTCCTTCTTCTCGCGGTGTGGCGGGCCCTTTTGAGACTGGATTGAGCTAGAGCTACGGTCTTTCCCGGTTGGAAAGCGGATGAGGTTGAAGTGACAGGAGCACCCATTTAGAGATCGGAAAAAGAGTGGGAACGCTTCTGGTCGTGACAACTTCCCGCCAAAGCTGAACTGTGGTCCTGGCTGTAGAAGGGTGCCAGAACTGCGCGCCTCCCGCAGGTGGAGAGAAGCAATAAATCTGGGACCTGGACAAGCAGGACGCTCCGGCAGGCCGCCTACCTTCTAAAAGAGCCATTACCCCGACTGGAGGGAGTCCACCAAAAATTGAATGGGGCCACGCGGGAAGTCAGTAATAGCAGATTTCTACTCAGAGGAAAAATCATTAGCTTTAATGGCTTCGCAGTTCAAAGGTGCTATTTAAAATTATAAGTAAAGCAAAACAAAACGAAACTTGAGGCGTCTCCTTATTTTTATTTTATTTTATTTTGCTTATAGAAGTGCCTCCTAAACCTTCTCTAGTCTCAGGCAGTATTTAAGTAGCAGCTTTCTGTTTTGAGAATCTCCCATTTGTCTTCTGGTGTCAGAGTCTGAGACCTAAACGATTGGAGAAAGGAAAGAATAAAATGCTCAAATATTTCTGGGTAAGACAGAGTGCTGGGGCCTGCTAATTGTTACTGGAAGTAAGCGGGCAGGTCCCTGCAGCCTCTTTTGAGAAGTGGTTTGCCTCCCTTGTTGAAAGAGCTATTTGTATTTAAATGTGCTTCAACAACAGCCTTTCAAACTGAAAGGCTAATAAAAAAAAGAAAATTAACCTTTTAAACAGTTACTTACGAATTTAGCCCTTGGCCTGGTAGTGCATGCCTTTAATTACAGCATTTGGGCAGCCGAGGCAGGCTGATCTGTGTGAGATCAAGGCCAGCCTGATCTACATATCAAGCAATCCAGAGCTACCTAGTAAAACCCTGTCTATTTATTACCTAGTGAGGCATCCAATTCTATTATGTTCATGTAGCTTAAAGAAAAAACAGACTGGAACTGGAGAGATAGCTTCAGCAATTACAAGCATTGGCTGTTCTTCCAAAGGACCAAGGTTCAATTCCCAGCACCCAAATGGCAGCTCACAACTGTCTGTAATTCCAAGATCTGATGCCCTCACACAGACATACATGCAGGCAAAACAAAAATGCACTATATAATATATAATATAATATATTGTCTATTTAAAAGAATTCTAGCCAGCATTGGTAATGGCAATGTGGCAGTGAGATACTGAGATTCAAACTGTTCTAGGGTACATACATATTCGGCCACAAACAAACAGACAAACAAACAAAATACCGCCCCAACAGACAAACATGACTGCCCTATGATCTACACAATGCCAAATTATGTTCAATTTAAACTGCACCCTGGCAGAACCCTTCATTTTGTTTTGCTTCTTCTTCCCTAGTACTTTGCATGTGGAGTTAAAACAAACAACTTACACTAAGACCTGCTGAACCTACGCCCCTAACTTCACTGCATTCTTATTCAAGTAGACAAATCAGAAAGGCACATTTAAATTTGCCTACAGTTATATGTCATCTGACCAGACTCTAGATGTGTTTTTTAGTTACCTTTATGGTGTAAACATGGTTGGAAGAACCTAGGTATGTTTCAGTAATTTAATTTTCTGAGAGAAAATTGGTTTCAATATAAGAATTGTCTCATAAGGATAAGGGAAAAAATGAAGAGAATGAAAACGTGTTAGCACTGGAATGTATTCATTCAACAAATTCTTATTTACCATTTTTTGTGGGTAGGATTTTTGTTTTTGTAGACCAGCTTATAAAAATGCAAACCCCTGTGGCATGCAAAATTACAGTACACAGTTTCTGCCCTTGAGGATTTTTATACCTCTGTAGGATTGAGAAAAAAACAGATGCATACATATCTGCAAATCAAAGTTGCATGCATTATATGAATGGTGAAGTTTATATTTAATAATACAGTGGGGTTGGGATGAGAGTGGGGGGCGCTTTTTAAAACTGACCTATTCGAAGAAGGCTTTTGCTGAAAAAGTGGTATCCGGCTCTGGACCCTTTTGGAGATTGTTACACTGTAACAAACACCGAGGCAGACAAAGTTTGTACTTGGGAGGAAAACAGACTTCCTAGTCCAGGAAATTGAAACAAATGGTCAACATGAGCCCAGGGAGGTGAGTCTTGAACTGGAGACAAGGTGAAATGCACTATCACTAAGTGAGCTCTGGTTCTCACCTTTGTCAGCTGTTTCCTGCTTTGCTCAGTCTTTCCTCCTGGGAGCCCAACCTGTTCAAACTGTTGCCTGAGTGTGGAACATTTGTCTAGCTCTTCACCCTACCCCCATCATTCTTTCTAGCAGCAAACAAGGTGGGTTTCCTTTGTCCCAGCCAACTTACTTTAGCTCTTGGCCTTTGTGACATTTTTACCTGAGTCCGAAGCACCATATCTTACAGTGACACCTCCAAAATATACCAAACAGTGCAGTGTCACCCAGCATGATCTCTCTCTCTCTCTCTCTCTCTCTCTCTCTCTCTCTCTCTCTCTCTCTCTCTCTCTCTCTCTCTCTCTTTTGGTTTTTCGAGACAGGGTTTCTCTGTATTGTTTTGAAGCCTTTCCTGGAACTTGCTCTGTAGAACAGGCTGGCCGGGAACTCACAGAGTTTCACCTGCCTTTGCCTCCCAAGTGCTTGTATTAAAGGCATTCAATAACCATACCTGGCCATCCACAACTTTGACTAGGAATTGACTCAAATTATGATGTTAGAGATGGGCCTCACTCGCTTAAGGCAAGCACTCCACCACTATGCTACCCTCCAGCCCTCACACTTATATATACTTGTTTTTCTTGCCTAAATATTTTTCAGCACATCAGATGCCAGGGATCGGCTGCAAAGTTTACTGTATTTCCAAATTATTTTCCACAACCGATAAATTATTACAGAGTCGGAAATTTATCTTTATGTAATGGTCAATATGAGACTTAAATGGATCACTTATTTTTAAAATTACACTAGCTTGTTTCTCTTTTTTATTAAAAACTATGAATACTGATTGCCTGGCAATTATCCACAGGATAATTTCCCTTGGCTATTTAAGTATGCCTACTATGACTGTCACAATTTAGAGTAACTGTAGCGTGTCCATTCAGTAACCAGGGGGAAATGGCATAGGAAGATGTAAAATTTACAGATTAAATATATCAACATTAAAAATGTTTACCACAGAGAATATAAAATAAAATATTAACATTATGTGTTTATGAGAAAATGGATGATGGGGAGTTAAAAGGGACAAAAAGATCTACAGATGTTCTGCATATTAGTTTAAATATATATATATATGATGCATAATAAAAATGTTCTCTCCTCCCTCCCTCCCCCCCATGCTCCCAATTTGCTCAGGAGATCTTATTCTTTTCCTCTTCTCTGGGGAACCATGTATGTCTCTCTTAGTGTCCTCCTTGTTTCCTGGCTTCTCTGGGATTGAGGATTATAGCTGGTTCTCCTTTGCTCTATGTCTAACATCCACTTATGTACATACCGTGTTTTTCTTTCTGTGTCTGGGTTACCTCACTCAGGATGGTTTCTTCTAGAGATGATTACCTTAAATGCCATCCTAGAGCCTTCATCCCATAGTTGATGGAAGCAGAAGCAGCGATCCACAGCTAAGCACTGAGTTGAATTCCTGGAATCCAATTGTAAAGAGGGAGGAGTGATGAGCAAAGGGGTCAAGACCATGTTGGGGAAACCCACAGAAACAGCTGACCTGAGCAAGTGAGAGACCTGCATATGACCAAACTAGCCCCTCTGAATGTGGCAGTTGCAGGACTTGAGCAGTCTATCGGGCTGCTGGCAGTAGTACCAGTATTTATCCCTTGTAGTGATATAACATATAATATAGCACCACAATTCCTAGTGCATGAACTGACTTTTTCAAGACCATTCCCTATGGAGGGATACTCTCTCAGCATAGATACAGCCTAGGTCCTCCCCCAAATGATGTGACAGACTTGGATGATCTCCCATGGGAGGCCTCACCCTCTCTGAGGAGTGGATGGGGAGTGGAGTTGGGACGGGGAGATGGTGAGGAGAGGGGGAGGACAGGAGGGAGAGGGAGCTAGAATTGGTATGTAAAATAAGATTGTTTTTAATTTCAATAATAAAACTTAAAAAAGAATTCTCGATACTCTGTTTTACATTGCAAGGGAATCACAAAGGTACTGATTGGTAATAAATATTGTCTTTTCCATGTTAAAATATCACTAACTCTGTTGATACTTGGCTACCATTAATCATTTGTGTTATATGCTAAAGTGAAAAACATTTGAAAAATTGTTTAAATTATTAGCACATAATAATGTAAATCCTACTCTACCAAAATTATGTTTTGAATGTATTGGTTGCTGTTTTATTGTAAAATAAACATTAAGCCTAAAATGAATCCAGTACAGTAAAGCATTCACTTTTGAATTTAGTAACAACAGTTAGGTTACTGGTAGCCCTTTCCTGAAACTGAATCTTGAAACACTGTGCTCAAGAGACCCTAAAGCTTCCTTTCTCCAGGTTCAAGACTAATAAAACACTGATTTCTGAGTTGCCCCCAGTATGATGGCTTTTGAAAGTCCATCTTCTGGTTCTTCTGGTAGAAAAAAAGGAAAGAAAATGGTTGTAAAAAATGCTTCTAGTATTTAAATAAACAAA